CTACTTTTACAGTTTCCATCCACCGTTTGGTTTGATTTTGGAGTTTGATTTTGGATGGAAAAATCAGTTGACCCTGCTATTTCAACCCTTTTCTTAAAAATATTTATGATTTAGCCCCAATTTTAATTTATTCCAACAATTTTGCACCAAAAAAAAAACAAAATTTTAATTGCAAATGTTGCACAAAATGCCCATGTATTAAATTAATTTGCAAAAGGAACCCTGTGTCTCTGCTCTTGATTTCTTCTCCATCTTCTTCTTTCCAATTTTTTTTTTAACATGATACGGACTAAATTGTCCTCGGGGGGTTTCCTAATCAATTATTGGGCCGTGGATTGAGTTTTCACTTGCATTTGGCCCAAAGCCATATCAAGCCCAAGAAGGTGAGTTAGGGCAAATTTGCTTCTCTCTTGCCCATCAAGTATCCTCAACTATAAATAGGGAGTTACTCTCAACTTATTACTCCTATGCTCTCTCTTACATATTACACTCAATTATCTCCCGATAAAAACTGACTTGATCGTCGGAGCTTCTACGCCGGGAAACCCCTCCCGGTGTTGCAGGTACTCCTCCGGCGGAATTTCCGGCAAGCTGTCATCAAAATATCGATCAAGGAGGACGGATCATCATCTCAACAATTTTGGAGCAAATCAAGTGGCGCCGTCTGTGGGAAAAGATCTCGAGCTAGGACGTGAGATGATTTGATTTTGGAGTCTTCTCTATGAGGTTGGAGAATATGAGCTGCCTCTGATAGCATCTGATAGCAGATCTAAAGGGACGATCGAAGAAGGGCGGTTCAGAATATTTCTCGGGGAGTTTTTTAACGGGAAACCAAGAAAGAGACTCAACAAATCTTGTGCTTTGAATCTAAGTCTGATGAATCGATAAATTACAAAGAGGAGAATCCAGATCTGGTGAATCGACCGAAATCTAGAAAGAAAAATAAATAAGAGCAGATTCTCGAGATAAAGACCATGAAACGAGTTCAAATCCCAAGTCAAGAGCTTGACGAATCAGGGTTGGAAGAGAAAGGAGAGAAGCAGCAGTCAACCCCGTCTCAGTGCTCGTCGGTCCATGACCACAGAGCGAAGTCTCGCCGACCTCGTCTAAACGAGATCGAATCTCACAAAACCGGGATTTGTTGAGCCGTCTCTCGCCAAACCCATGCTCGCCTACCGAACGTCGGCCGAGCTGAATCTCGCAGGCTCATCACCTCGACATCCGATCCTCTTCACTTCGCCGAAGCCCAGAGCCGCCAATTGAGCAATAGCTCGGTCAGTTGTTTTCTTTCGTACCGACCGCTCCAAATCTGACCGTCTAAGGCTGTCAACCATTAGCAATCGAAAGAAAGGGGATGTTAATTTTGAAGCAGATCTGAAATCAATTTAAACGGCCCGAGTTGATGAAGTTTGTGAAGGAATTCTACCGAGCTTACCGTGCACTAGCAGAAAGGTACAAACACACCACGGGTGAACCTCGCCGAGCCCATCGAACCATATCGGAGGCATTTCCCGAAGAAGTACCCTTCGAACTTGGGTTAAAAAAAAAAAAAAAAAAAAAAAAAAAAAGGAAAAAACGGGAGTAATGAAGTCTTTTCTGTTCTTGTTTTGGGAATTCATGGATGTTGCACCCTCAATTCAGAAGGTCCTTAATTACAGTTTTGACCCTTATACTATACCCTTTTCACTTTTTGATTTAGGTCCTTAATTTTTTTTGCACCCGCATTTGGTCCTCAACTAATCGATACTACTTTTACAGTTTCCATCCACCGTTTGGTTTGATTTTGGAGTTTGATTTTGGATGGAAAAATCACTTGACCCTGCTATTTCAACCATTTTCTTAAAAATATTTATGATTTAGCCCCAATTTTAATTTATTCCAACAATTTTGCACCAAAAAAAAAACAAAATTTTAATTGCAAATGTTGCACAAAATGCCCATGTATTAAATTAATTTGCAAAAGGAACCCTGTGTCTCTGCTCTTGATTTCTTCTCCATCTTCTTCTTTCCAATTTTTTTTTTAACATATCTTCTTCACCTTCAGAGATCAGCGATTTCATAGCGATTGAGTTTTAGTAAGAGGAAAAGTCAGGCGCACACAATATGTGTGAGGTGTGTGGCCGCCGCAGTTTCCACCTTCAGAAGCCGCTTCTCCACCGCAAATTCCAATTACAGAAAATGTCGGTGGCAGGGATAAAGGGGTTAAACAATGGACGGTGGGTGGTGGGTGGTTGAGCAAGAAGGAGCCAGAATGTGGTGGAGGAGGGATGAAAAATGGGGCCGTAGTTTCAAAGAGCTCCGACGGTGTAGTCTGGTGTTGGTGGGTGGGTGGTGGTGGGGAAGAAGATGACTCACCCTTCTTTTTCTTCTTTTTCTTTTTATTTTTAATTGATATTTTTTTTTTCTTAAGATATTGGTCATTGGTTACAAAACTTCTTAGGTCATTTCTAATGGAGTCCACAAATCTCCATATTTTAGGGACTTTGTTAAAAAAACTCAACACCAATGGAGGTCCTAAAGACTATACCTAAAGTTTCTAAATATTTTTCTATATTTGGGATCGCATATAGAGACTCTAACTTAAAGTCGTTCCAAGGTAAATTCCCAAGCTTCTGAATTCAACTTACTCTTTACATCCATTGGAAGATTCACGGGCTTGCAATCTGCATAGTTAGAATCATACAGTAATTTCAAAGTATACTGCATTCGAGACAAAGTTATACTAGTAGTTGATTGAGCAATTTCGAGTCCCAAAAAAACCTTAAAGAACATAAATCTTTCAATTTAAGCTTGTTACTCAAATCAATCTTAAGCTGGGCAAAAGGAGCAGTAGAAGGACAGGACCTGCTATAATCAAATCATCAACATGAACAAGCAAAGCAATAAAGGAGTCACTAGAGCCTCTAGTAAACAAGGAATACTCAGTTTACATTGAATAAAACCCAAAGTAATAACAACTTCTGTAAATTTAGAATTCCAATGTTTTGAAGCTAGTTTTAAACCATAAGGAGACTTGTTTAACTTGCAAACCATATTGGAACCAGAAGAAAGTGAATCAGGAGACATGTATCCTAAAGGCATTTGCATATAAACTTATTCCTTTAGATCACCATTTAAAAAAGTATTGTTTACATCCAGTTGACGTAATTTCCATTTACGTACAACAACTAAACACAAGAGAAGTTCAACAATAACTAATTTAGCAACAGGGGAGAAAGTATCTATGTAATCAATACCTTCCTACTGAGTGAAGTATCTGACAACAAGTCTGGCTTTTGTACCTATCAACAGTACCATCTTGCTTCCTCTTGGCATTTTTTAATCAAAAAATAGAGACCTAGCAACATTTAGAATATGCTCATGTTTTCTTTCCACCACAACATTTTGCTGAGGAGTTTGCATACAAGAAAATTGATGAACAATGCCAAGAGAAGCAAACAATTCAGTAAAGACTAATTGTGGAGCATTATGAGATCTGGATACCTTGTTTATCAAATTGAGTTTTAATCATATTCAAGAATCAAGGAATAACAGTGATAACATCAGACATGTGTTTGAGCATATGAATCCAAGTGAACCTAGAATGGTCATTAGCTAGAGTAACAAAGTACTTATAACCATTATAACAAAGAAGTTTGCATGGGCCCCACACATCATAGTGAATCAAATCAAAACTAGCAGGAGAAAAATGAGTGATTTTATTGAATGAAAACACAAATCTTTGTCAACAGAGACAGGATCAATGGCAACACTGCTTTTCAACAGACTAAGTTTTTGAAAAGGCATGTGATGCCACACAGTAGAAGAAACTTTATTACATAATAGAAGACTGATTAGTGAATAAGGAAGAACAATTTATCTGAGACACGAGAAACTGAGCCTATGTCTTGTCCTGAAGATGCCATTTAAGATGAAAACATGGCCATAAGTTGCTCACATTATATTACAATGTGGGCGATCTTTCTTCTTGAAATTCATGTTGCAGAACTGGTTATTGACTGGAGGTCTGCGAAAACTACCATCATTCTTGACAGCAAAACTTGCCACCATGGAATCAGATAAAACAGGAGCAGCAGTAACAGCACGTTACGTTGTCTTTTCTTTTGAGAAACAAAAACAAACACTCTGCTTACCTTCAATGCATGTCTTTGGAGACGGCATTGATTAACCAGGACATTACCATATTGTTATTTCGAATCCAAGCACTTTGAGTAATCGGTTCTTCACTGTCGGGATCAAAGGAAATTGCATCGGTGACAAAAGCCAACCTTGTTCTTCATCATTAGTGACATAATCATGGAATGTGACCAAGACGCATAGTTGTCCTCTATCAACGCTTGAGAAACAAGAACTAAATTGGGACCATCCGAAGAATGAAGATGGAACGGACTGAAGACGTCGATCAATGGGGGAGCGAGTAAGCGCCACTCATGAGAATTCGAAAGAGAAATTTCTACGAAACTGAGAAATTGAAGCGGAATATCTATCTGATTAAAGAAAACAAAGCAGAAAAACGAGAAATTAAAACTGATACCATGTAGAAATATGAAAACCGTAATTGAACTCCATTAATGGAAAGAGAAAAATAAATTTATCCGCTGGGATTATTCATTGAAGAAGAAGAGAAAAGGTGAGTTGTTACAATATCCAGTCCAGCTATTCATTATATAAATCCTAACTAACCGTAAAAGTGCTAGTTACAAATAAAGTGCTACTCATTACATTACAACTTATGCCGTGGTACACAAAGTAATAACTACAAATAAGAAGGACTAAAATACAATAAACCAAAATCCAACAATTAGCATCCGCCCCTGTCAGGAGATATGGGCCTTTGAAACTTACAAGGGGTATTTTGTATTTATTGCTTTTATAGGGACCAAATTAGTACATTAATGTTTCTGGAGGGGTATTGGCAATTTACTCGACTTTTGTTTGCTAAAGATGAAAATTGAAAACAAATGTATCGAATTTTCAGTTCGGATAAATATATACGCACAACTTTATACATAAATAATACATACACAGTACACACGCGAAGAGAGAGAGAGAGACTGGGGCAAAATTGAAAGAAAGCTGAAAATAAACCAAAAGGGAAGAGAAATGGGGTCGGCGCCCACGCGCAGCGAAGTGCTTTTCCTCTTCCGGTCACTCCTTCGGACGGCGCGTCAGTTCACGGACTACAATATCAGGGAGTACGCCAAGCGCCGTACTGTCGACGCCTTCCGCCACAACATGCGCATCTCCGACCCGGCGGAGGCGGCCACCGCCTTCGCCGAAGGGAAGTCGCAGCTCGAGGTGGCCAAGCGCCAGGCCGTCGTTTACTCGCTATACGCTCCTCGAGTCAAGAGCGTTATGGAAATGAATTAATCAACCACTCTCGATTTTATTCGTAATCACCCGTTATCGCCATTATTAGGTCAGTTCTTCTTTTTCAGTGCTCTTTTTACAGCTTCAGAAGTATCTTCGATTTGTAATTTTCGAGGTTTTATCTAGATAGATTTAATTTCAATTTCATCAGGTTTTTTATTTAATTGCGTTAGTTCGCTTTTGTTTGCTGCTTGTAGTGTCTGATATTTGTGTTAAAAAAAGGTTAATTTTTGTGTTTTTCGAATAATATATTTGCTTGATTTAGGTTTCGTTGAATGAAAATAAATTTGGGTACTTTTCGTATGTGAGATTCTATGGATTTGAAGCATAATTTTGAAAATATAAGGAAAATGATCTTCTCGTTAGGGTTTCTTTATCTTGTTAGCTTGCTTAATCGCATATAAGCAGCGATATCTGTTGAACGCGTTGCTGCATATGTGCAATTTTTTCGGTAATCGAGTCTTCATAGGCCTTCAGATTATAAAGCAACCTAATTTCATAAGCAAAGTAGTGTTTTACATAGGAGCACACTGTAACACTACTTTGCACGACCATTTTTTTTACACGAAACATGCAATTACTTTGCCGTGTTTTCGATTTTGAAGCGAAATAGTTGTTCATTTCTCATGCCTGCCAGCTTATATTTGATAGTACTACCAGTTGATGGTCGCATAAAGCGTGTTATTGGAGTGGGTAAAACATATCTATTATTTACCCTAGAAAGGATCGAAGAACAAGAAATAGAACTTATGTTATCAGAAAAATCAATTAGATTGATGTTTCCTTTCAAATTTGAACTAACCTGACTGGATTATAGTGTTGATTTGTAACAACTTATTTACGGCAAGCTTTATGTTTCTTTAACGTGTCTAGATCTTGTAAGAAGGTGACACGCCTCAGAAAAAATCTGCAAGAAAAATTATCATATACAAAAAAAATGGCAGATTTCGGAATACAAACTTGAAATTAATTGGCTGAATATTGTTACCTTAGGCCTGTTGAGAAATAGTCTTTGGATGACTAAGGTTCATGCTTGAGATACCTCTTCGCCGTTTCTCGAGAATTTCAGCTGCTACTCAGTTGCTGATGTTGATATCCTAGGTTTCACTCGTCTAAATTTGCTGTTCTGTACATAATTACTTTATTCAGAAATTGAAGCCTAATCAGTTTAAATATGTTATGTTACCGAACATCAAATACGACCAATTATTTAACCAGCTATGGCTTATCTTATCAACCAAAGAGTCTTTAGTGTATTCGTATCAAACCGAGCATGTCAAACAGACTACTATGACTACTGAATTGTGTTTTGAAGACTTTTTAAACGAGTTAGTGATCGTGCAGCTCGCTCCATTAGCACGTTTGATTATCCGATCCATGCGATTGTAAACTAGTGTTACAAATTGTGTTTATGTTTAGAGATTCCTTACACTGATTTTTATATTTGATTTTTCGTATGATGGAAAGGTTGCATACAAAGATAGTTACAAATTATACGGAATTGTACGTTTATCTTCAGCCTCTTATACTATTCTGATTTTACCTTCCAGCAGTTGTTGATGAAAGAGGAAAAGACGAAGAACACTTGCTTATTTCTTGCCCAATCGATGGATCAGCTATGAAGTTACTGATTATTGGATTTATGTATTTTTCTACGCTTTAGTGTTTCTTACTCGGATATTAAAGAATAACTGCCTCCTTCACCGAGACACATGCGCGAGATAAAATGTTTAATATCCACAGTTGTGGTATTAAATTAAAGTATGATTTTTAATATTATCGATTTCTTCTCATATATATTGTTGTCCCTTCTCTCTCCTGTACTACATAAAAACTGCGGGGCACAGGAATACGCTGAGGTGGAAATTGATGTCGAAAATTAAATATGTGCTTAGCGCATCTGATAATACCGTTTCGAGCAATATAGCTCTATAGCTGTTTTAAGGAGTTGGATAATAAACCTGCAAAGTCCTAATTGTACTCAATTGTGTAAGTAAGGGACCAAATGATGATGTGGCAATATGAAATAATATTTATAAGTTATAATTACATTACCTATGGTTGATACCTGTGCACAAAATTGAAGTTCAAAACTGGAAGCAAGTATTCATTAACCAACGAGCAAAGAATTTGGTTTGCTCAAATATTTAATATCTTTTGGTAATTTCTTCATTTTTCCTCTATATATTTTCACTTTATTTTTGGGGAATGGTGCGGTGTTCTAGAACAAATTTGAAAAATAAAGTAATGTTTTTGGATAAATCGTACTATCTGTAATACCTTGCAAATCATATACGAGATGTAAATTGTGCCTGATGAATTATGTCGGACCAATTCGATCAAGAAAGTGTATATAGGGGATTCCAGATTTTTGACATCAATTTGTTTTTTTTTACCCTACCAACTTGGTCACTATTGCGAGGGTTTTGTTTATGCTACAGACGGTGAAATACACCGTGTGATCCTGCACCATTGATCTACACTTAATAACACACACACAATCATGTGTACGTGTGTGTGTGTTGTCGGTAGTTATTTATATAAATATATGGTGTAAAGTCATGCACTCTGAGGTAAAAAGAGATTCAAAATCAATCCAAACATAGGGCTTACATAAACTGAATTTACTACACGCAATCTCTCTCTCTCTCTCTCTCTCTCTCTCTCTCTCTCTCTCTCTCTCTCTCTCTCTCTCTCTCTCTCTCTCTCTCTCTCATAACTCAATAAATAGCATTGACAGCAATGTGTCAAAGTAAGTAGTGATTAGTTGATTATGTTAATGGTCAGAGAAACAGAGTACTTTAACTGCAAGAACCTCTATTGTGTCGAAAAAAGCAGGCAAGAGTAAATTCTGATACTTTGTCCAATCCTCTTGTACTAAAAGTTTTAACCATATTAATTGTTTTACACAGCAAAACAGCAGCAATATACACTGCCCTTCAATTTAATTTACATGCACACGTTACAACCTAACATAGCCTCTTTTACCACCCTCCTATACTATTACTACTACTACCTCGTGGTTTAATTTAATTTATCCAGTGCAACTATATGGTTGATTTCGTATTAAAAAAGAAAAAAAGAAACACAACTTTTAATCGACTGATGCGTTGATGCTGATATAACTTTTAGCGACAAATTAAAGCTAGTAATATATAACAAAGGGCAACTAACAAAGAGTAGAAAGAAATAATTAGAGATAGCAAATAGATCATATTGTACATATAGTATTACATTGTCAATTATGCAGAGGGTTCGGCCCGCTTGGAACTAGTCTTTTCTCGACGCCGTATCTTGGGTCGATTTCGTCGTCACTCTCGCTACGTGGTGGTGTTGGTGGCTGTGGATGTGGGTGGTGCTGGTGAGTTTGAAGGAGGAGGCGAGGCGGCCTTGTCGGAATATATTTGTGCCGATGAGTTTCTTGTAGTACTGCGCTCGAACATGTCGTATTTGCTAGAGCTATTAGGACTATTATAATGACGACTTTATCCCGGCGACTCGTGGAGGCGGTGGTTGATGGTGAGTTCTTCATGCAGAGAGAGAGAGAGAGAGAGAGAGAGAGAGAGAGAGAGAGAGAGAGAGATGTGGTGAAAGTGAAATTTTTGGAATAAGAAGAAGAGCATGATGAAAATGAAAGCTAGAGTATTTAAAGCAAAAACAAGTGACCCATGAACCATGTACCTACACCATAAATGCTACAATGAATGAGGTTAGAAAAAAGGTTGTCTTTTTTTTTTTTTTTTTTAAGACCACGAAACTCTAGCTACGCAATTGACAGAGCTGGGGGAGGGGTTTTGCCTTTGGCATGCAATAACTTTGGATTGCTTGCCCTATTTATTAATTAATGTCAATACTTTCTTAATATGTGATAACAACCAACTACTTTGTTTCGACTCCAAAAAATTAGCCATTTGCAGGTTTATACACACACTCCACAAAAAAAGAAATTAATATGATAATATAGTGTATTCATAAAAGGTGATATTTAAATTTTCTTGATGTTTGATTTGACATATAAAGATTAATAAAGGCTCGTTTCGGTTCTTTTCAGTGGCGAAACCTGCATAAGACTGTGAGGGCCGTCGTCTCCCAAAAACCCTAGTATTTTATTTAAAAATTTGTAATTTTTCAAGTAGTGTAGTATTTGTCGGTCTTGTAAAAAAAATTAGTGTATATTTATTTTCTACGGAGACGAAATTTAGGCTCTACGACTCTGATTCGATAATCATGAGTTGTCAAATGATGGAATATATATCTAGTTTGTGAGACAAATCAATCACTTCTTTTTTGTTTTGTCATAGATTTCAAATCCTTGTACTCGTTTATAAGAGATGTGACCACTTATAATTACTTCTATTGAGTGTTCAGAAAACAATCAATAAAAAAAATAATAAATAAACCTAGTTAGTAGATACCTCTAATATCATGTAATAAATAATATGGAGTGAGGTTTGATTTCAAATATATTTCATTTCAAAACTAGAAAATTCAACACAAGCATATATATCTCTCAAACTATATATGAATAAAAACAAAGCATTCCAACAATTCAAATTACAAAGTACATTGGTAAAAATACAGTGCTTCTTGCAGTTATTAACACTTTATCGAACGTAATTAAATCTTGATTTGCGTATAAATGCAATCAAAGGTAAAAACAACATACAGAAAACGATCCCAAGTCGTGTCTACTTTCCGAGCAAACGACGTGTGCGCCGATTAGCACCTTGCACTCGAAAGTTCAGCTCATCAACATCATCTTCAACATGATCCAACGCTTTGTTCTGCCTGCATTCGTAATTAAAAAAAACGCAATTAAATAAAAATAATAAAGTAATAAGTCAAAAAATAGATAATCGTAAATGGAATAACGCTAACCTCTCAATCTCGGATCCCATGTCAACAGCCATACTCTTTAAATCTCCCAAGATATTGCTTAAATCTTCAAAGGCATCATCTTGTTTCAACTTTTCCACCTGTCATAAACCGACACGAAAAACGGGAATTCAGAATCCTAAAAAAATTATATATATTGGATTTCGAGAAAAATTAAATGAAAAACCAAATTATATATACCTCGACTTTCTGCAACGCGTTAGTTGGTTCAATAGGTGGTGGTTTACGTGTGTGAGATCTTTCATGAGAGGTAGAAGAAGTCAATCCCAATTTTTCTCTCTGCTCCAAATGGTTACCCTTTCGGTGTACAGGGTCATCTACACAGGACCACCAAAAGTATTGAAAACCGTAAGTCATGGTGTAAAAAATGGGACCACGTGCTTTACATATTGTTTATTATATAAGAATATAATAAATTAGTGTTGTCGAAAAATAAATACCTCTAGTGATTACGGGGCCTGAAATTTCTTTATTCTTCTTAGGCTTCCATGTCTTGGAGAACATTCCACCCAGACTTCCGAGAAGCTTCTCCCCCTAAATTCGATTGCCAAATTATTAATTAAATTTACTGATGAACAACGAGAGATGATAGCATAATGATAAACGAATAGCAATTATGCATAAATCGTATAGTCCATACTCCAATAATATCAGTTGGTAGGTCAATACTATAATCTATTATTTGTTTCATACATAAACGAATATACCAATTTCTCCAATTGCAACTAACACGAATTACACTAAAAAAAAAATAATAAATAAATAAAAATAAGCATGGTGATTATACTGATCTCCACACCCCAACACAGATATTCGTTATAAGAAAAATAAAAATAATAAAAAAATAAAAATAATAAAAAATAAATAAGAGATTGGTGTAAATGAGAAAATCATAAATGGAAAAGTTGCCCGCCACCTAATGTATCCAACGAAGAGAAAATAAAGAATAACTTCAAACATATTTCTTGATGTTGCTGCTTTTTTTAATTTTAATTTATGTGTGTGTGTCAGTGTGTGTGTGTGTGTGTGCGCGTGTGTGTTCGTTTAATTTAGCAGTGATACCAGATGTTCACAATATCGTGAAAACATGTAAAGCTCAAAGGAGGCAACAAATGAAGGTTCCATCATGCATTATCTATTAATCCTCACAAATACCAAACACAAAGAAAAATCGAGCCATTTTCCATCTTCCGACATTGCAAATTTCCGTGCATGCATTAACAGAATAAAAACTGGCAAAAAAAGCTCAATATAATTAAAAAAAAAAAAAAGACAAACATACCCTGCTCAAATCATGGTCAATCTCAGCAGCAGTCATGTGAGTCCTCGTAATTTGCTCTCCCTGCTGATGCAAAGTAACCAAAGTCTTGGTCGCATCTTCTCTCATATCCTCAGCAATTTTCAGACAATTGTTCACCGTTTTGGTAGTCTCTTCTGATTTATACACGGCGTAACTTTCCAGTTCCTGTACACTCTGGTTATCGAATCCGCCAGACTCGCGAAAATCGTTCTTGTATTTGTTTCTTGCCGATGAAGTAACAGATGTTTGAGATGATGATGACGATGAGGTCCCTTTAGTAACAACATCGTCGTCGAAAAGACTACTCCTCATATTTGATGTAATAACAGAAGGTTCCGACGATGTTCTTGCAGCGGTTTTAAGGGTTGGCTGCTTATTGATGTCCAGCTCATCATCCGAATCGAAAGGATTGGCAGCAGCCGGCTTAACAAATCCGGGGTCGGCGGATTTGTGCTTCGAAAGCTTATGTAAGGGAGATTTCATGTGTCCAAACATTTTCGAAGCGGCGAAAGAATTTCGTATCGAATTAGGCTACCTTTTTTAACTCGGGCAAGGTGCGCGTTTGATCAATAAAAGAAGTCGTCTGTGTTTCGACGAGAACCTGAAAGTACATAAAACAAACAGTGTAAGAATCATACATAGGCAACAAACATCGCTGGGAAGAAGAATATAAACCCCGTACAATTGAAACTTCAACTAAACGAAAACAGAATCAAGAACCATAAAAGAAAAGTAAAGGTCCCGACAAAATTAGACAGAAAAAAAAAAAAACCAGGATCAAGAACCATAAAAACGGACAAAATCCTTCGATTACTTTCTTCGGTAACGATCCAAATCTTACACTTCTCGATGAAGGATAAGTGCGATATAAAAAGCATCGAAACTTTGCAGTATTACATAATTCACAACCGAAAGACCTTTTGTTCATTCTTTCCCCTTTTTACTTTATTCCCCTTTACAATTGATCATGATACAAAGGTAACCCATACCCCATAAACATACGATTGGATCAACTGAAGCAAATTAACCCAGAAAAAGGGAAATTGAACAAAGTCAAAAGTGCATACAATATATTTACGAGAATACCAACTCTTTCCTTAACCCTAGAATCAGTTCAACAAACATAAACCGCACATATAAGCTGACAAAATCACACCATCTACTTACGCAATAAGAACTTAAATTGGGGGGTTTTTTTTTCCGATCATAGAAAAATCAATTAACCCAGGACAACAAATCTAATTCAGGTAACGTACATATTAAGGAAGAAATCATGGCGGGAATACCTGAAATTTCACGAAAGCTGAAACGAATAATCTTTGACTTTCGGTAGAAATGAAGAACCCTCCTTCCAGAAAAAAAAATTCAACCAATTCTAGAGTGCGGAAAAAATGGGATAAACTAGAGAGAGAAAGTGGGAGAAGAATGAGAATTTAGAAATGGATTCCATCGATTTATAGTATATAAATATATGAAAAAACGAGTACATTGAAAAATCTTCGTCCGTCGGGGGAGAATTGGTAAGAGTTGGGGTGAGTTGAAACTGGCACGAAACTGCAGTTTGTAGAAACATTCAATTATTCAAAATACTCGCTTACTTTTAATGATTTTTAATATTTTTCTTTTACCCATTATTTATTTTTTAGATAATTTAATTTGCACAAATCACTTCTTTAACATTTTTTTATTACTAATATGTATGTCTTTGCCAGATTAATTATAAAATGTATCTAGGGCTCGTTTAGCTTAAATTATTTTAAACAGCTGATAAACTATTATATTCAATAAGCTGTTTTAAGAGCTACGTCTTAATTTTAGAATTAATTTTTAAAGTATTTGGATATTGGTCTTATAAACTTAGTTATAAGATCTTAAATTAAAATGTGGCTGCAGATATTTTTTTTTAAGAGGATCTTATTAGTTCTCCAACGGCTTATTTTTTTAATTTTTAAGATCTATTTTAATAAATAATCTGAGAAAACTTATAAACTCTAAAACATCTTATAAGTTTTTTATAAAGATTATAAATTTAGCCAAACAAACTATTATAAGTTACTGCACTTCTTTTTTACTCCATAGGTGAACCTATATTCAACGTTAATATGCATTCCACTTGCATCTACAATTAATTCTCAAATTAAAGAGGGATAGTGAAAGATAATGACTGAGGAGAGAGATAAGTGGGAGGCTTTTGGGGATATATTAATGAAGATAAAGGGCAGTTTAGTCTAAGATCATATATATATGTTTTTTTAAATAATAACTAATTGCATTCTTAATCCATGTACATAGCAGAAAAAATATTAATAATGAGGGAACAAATTAAATATAGTATTTTTTATCAGAATTTTGAGCTTCGGAATTCATATTTCAAGTTTATGCTTTCTTCGCCATAATACAGGAATTTCCACACTTCGTGTTATTGTGTGCACCAACAGATGCTCGTCCTGTTATTAAATAGCCTTGAATTACGAGAAATCTAATTTTATTTTTGCATTTAAAATACGAAATCGGTATTGGACAAATTGTTGAATCCCGATTCCGAATGATAATTTTAAGAGTTGGTACATAGCTTTCGTACTTTATATTTCTTACAGAAAAAAAAAAATTTAAAAAACAAATATTCTTAAAATATCACTTCAACTACATCACGACTTCAGAAGGCTCTAGCAACTGCCCTAATAGAAAATGTTAATTACATAACTTTAATTATTATGATCTGGCGCTAGGGTTCCAACTTCCAATAATACCCCTCCTTTTTATTTCATTGATGAGATGATTTGAATTTTAATAAACTAGTAATCATGCCCGTGCGTTGAACGGGACGTATTCAACAAAAGGAAAAAAGTAATTGTTTAAATAAATGATAGTACAAATTGTAATAAAAAATCTATCAATTAATATTGAAATATATATATGAAATTCAAATTACACTACTATTATCTTATTTTATTGTAGCACACATTTTTCATCCTAAATCGGTATATATATATATATATATATATATATATATATATATATATATATAGACACACACACCGAGTGTCAATATATAAAATATATGTCAAATAATAAAGAATACAAATTCAATAAAGGGTACGACAATTTTAAATACCAATTGTTTCTTATTTCAATACCGCCTAAATAATAAATATGTAATGACATTTATACCTTTAATGAAAATCAATATCACACAAATATAAAAAATCTCATTTTTCTTTCTTTAATACTCCAGACACAACACACTCCTCTCTTTCTTCTTCACAAACCCTCCCTCCTACTCATGTTTCTTCTTCATCATCCTCCTCACCCTCCTTCTCTTCCTACTCTTCTTCTCGTCCTCATCCTTCTCCTTTTGCTTTTTCTCCTCCCCCCTCCCCCTCCTTCTCCTCTCCCTCCCTTCTTCTTCTTGCTTCTTCTTCATGCTTTTTCATGTTTCTTCTCTTCCGCTTCTTCCGTATCTTCTTCTTATCCATCTTCCGTTTTTTCCTCTTCATCATCTTTCTCTTCTTCCTCTTCGTCATCCTCGTCTTCTATCTCCTCCTCCTCGTCCTCCTTTTCTTCGTCTTCCTCTTATACATCTTCCCGCCTCTTCTTCTTTTTCTTCTTCCTCCTCCTTGTTGTTCTTCATTTTCTTATTCCTCTTCCTCTTATTCTTCCTCCTTGTTCTTCCTTTTTTTCTTCTTTCTCTTCATCTTTTTCTTCTTATTCTTCTATCTCTTCTTCTACTTATTCCTTCTTCTTTTTTCTTCATTCTTCTCAGTCTCATTTCTCCTCATTCTGGCCTCGTCCTCCTCCTCGTCCTCGTCCTCCTCCTCCTCCTCCTCCTCCTCCTCCTCCTCCTCCTCCTCCTCCTTCTTCTTCTTCTTCTTCTTCTTCTTCTTCTTCTTCTTCTTCTTCTTCTTCTTCTTCTTCTTCTTCTTCTTCTTCTTCTTCTTCTTCTTCTTCTTCTTCTTCTTCTTCTAGTTCTTCTTCTTCTTCTTCTTCTTCTTCTTCTTCTTCTTCTTCTTCTTGTGCTTCTTCTTCTTCTCCTTCTCTTCTCCTTCTCCTCCTCCTCCTCCTCCTCCTCCTCCTCCTTATTCTCCTCCTTCTTCTCCTTCTTCTTCCCCTCTTTCTTCTCCTTCTCCTTCTCCTTCTCCCCCTTCTTCTTATTTTTCTTCTACTTCTGCTCCTCCTCATCCTCCTGCTCCTTCTTCTTCTTAGAAAGAAATTGCTTACGTTGAAAAATGTTGGTGAGGAGAAGAAGAAGACAAAGAAGAAAAAGGTGAAAAGCCTCGGCATTCACTCAGCCATGGCAAAACTATGCATACTTAGACAGCCGGCAAATAAAATAAAAAAAAAGAAAAAAAAAACTGCTAACAAATGGAGAGAAAATAAAATAATAAAAGAAAATGCCATAATATGTATTTACTAAAATACACCTAAGTTTAGGTTTAGGTTTAAGTTCAAAATATCGTGCCCGTGCGTTGCACGGGGTCACATTGAACAAAGGAAAGAAAATAATTGTTTAAATAAATGATAGTACAAATGTAATAAAATATCTATTAAATAATATTGAAATATATATATATATGTATTATGGTGCTGTGACCTTATTTTATTGGAGTATATATTTTTCTTCCTACGCTAAATATATAAATATATATACACCAAATGTCAATGTATATGTAAAATATATGTTAAACAATAAATAATACAAATTTAACAAAGGGGATAGTTAATTCAAATACCAATTGTTTCACTACAATACCGCCTAAATAATAAATCGGTAATGACATTTATACCCTTAAGGAAAATCAATTGCACACAAAAATACAAAATCTCATTTTTCTTTCTTTAATACCAAACACACAAACCCCTCACACCCCTCTGTTTCTTCTTCACAAACTCTTCCTCCCACTCATGTTTCTTCTTCCTCTTGTTGTTGAAAATACACAAATCTCATATTTATACTAATAGGAACTAAGTACTGTTTAGATATATGAAAAGACATAAGACTAAATTCATTGTTCTTCAAGATACATCTTTAATTATCCAAATTCTGAAACTTCATTTTTTGGATGTCAGAGAGTCAGATTCACCTTATTTTAATTTGACTTGTCGAACGTAGCCTCAAATAAAATAAGAATACATCTCTCATTCCATATCTTGTTGATACACAAATAGACCACCAAAAACAAAATGCCACGAATTAAAAGAGTATTTACTTGGCTTGGGTGATAATACTTGGCTAATTAGTAATCATAAGAATGCAAGACTCTTATGTTTCTTTCACATAAAATGATCTTCTTCTTCAAATATGCAGAATCCACATTTGAAATAAAGCTAAACCCGAGTCATAAGTAATCTATTGCTGTAGAAAAAAAATTACGAATAAATTTAATAACCTAGTTTTTCTGAAAAAATAAAATCCGTCGTTTTTGTGTAAAAAAACAGAAGATTGCAGGAAATATGAAAATCCCAATTACCTCTATGGCCCCAAAAACAATTATTTGCCACCATATGTCAAATATTGCAGGAAAGAATATGCTAAGAACAAACTGGTGGCTGCAAAAAAAAAAATTTAAAAACAAAAAAAAAAATTAGTTGAAAAGGTATTTGCACAATATTAAATTATGTACCGTGGTGAATGGTGATATGAAGAGAAGAAACCAAACGTGGGAGAGCGATGGGGCTGGGGAAATAGGGAAATGACGTTAGATATATATATACAACACACGATTTACAGAAGTTATAATTATATAATCAGATGTAAGTATTTAACACACAATTCTTTGGGTGGGAAGTTTTTTAACTGAGGAATTCATCATGGTCATGTATGTTATTTATAAAACCGAACATGATAGGTTTACGAAGTTTTAAAGAAGAACGATCGTGAAGGCAGTTCGTGTGTGAAATTAAGAAGAATAAAAAATAAATAAATAAATAATCTTATATTAACATTTTTCTTATCATGTGTGAAAGTGTGGTGTCTTTTTTTCTTTTTTAAATGTTGTGATATTGCAGCAAAAGAATCCATAAATAAGGGGAATATAGAAGGGAAAAAAATAACTGCCCCTAGAACTACCAAAATATTAAATAAATAAAAAAATTAAAGAAAAAACTACCGACTAAGAGTGGAAAAATATCAAAAATATTAGTTGGAGTGGAATTATACCACTACCCAAAAGAATAGGACAATATTCATGCAAATTATTTATTTTAAATTAGAGATATATAAATTAACAAAATTACCCCTAGGTTTAGGTTTAGGTTTTAGTTCAAAATATCTTCTTTTTATATATAAGATAAAATATCAATCCTATCTTACTATGATCTAATTGTTTCTAATAAAAGCTTTTAACTATGTTTATTGAGTTTACTTCTGAGTTTAGTAAAATGAACAAAGATGTGAAGTACATATAATAAGGAACAAAAGATAAAGGGTAAATTCCACTTTACCTCCTTGTACTCTGCCTAAGAACCACTTTACCCCTTTGTACTCTTAATTTTGTTGATTTACCCCCTTGTATTTGTATAATTTCTCAATACAACCCTCTTCGTCAACTTTTTTCGATTTTGACTCTGACGTCATTTGGT